ATCTACAAATACAAGCCAGTAAAGGATGTGTAAACACTGACTCATATGTGCATGAAAGCCTCGAAAGACATGTTTAACTTCTGCTTTCGTGGAAAGGTGGATGGACGCCAGTGTGAAGAAACACAATAATACAAGAGAGAATACAAGAATGAAAATCAATGTGTCCTATTTGAATCCTTCAAATAGAACTCTGGAAAATGTCTGGATATTTGGATCTGGATATTATCCAGACTTTGACTTTCACATATGAACACGAAGCAAGAGATTGTCTGGGTCAGATGTGTTCACATTAATAAAAAAAAACCTCCAGAGCATTCAGATGAGAGGTACCACCTGGGTAGAGCATTCAGGAGGCGACATAACGTATAAATTCCACTGAATAAATCACGTTTTTGTTCACAGCAGACTGACACCAACATCAGCCCTTGTCTGCAAAGGGTCTCCAATCTCATTGTCTTTCCAAGTTGACATCTTCATTGGCGTTGTTTAAATGTATGACACCTCTTTTCCATTCTGAGATATCTGTATTCTTTTGTTGTTTTTTTCAGTTTTCCATTTATCGCTCTCAGAACTAACATCTGTACGCCTACTCTGCATTCTTACATCGGTCGGAGCAACTGACTCAGACATTTGTGCTCTCACATGTAGCCCCTCCAGATAATTTCAGGAGAATATCGTGTTCAGTGCGTGTCTGAAAGCAGCTCAAGAAAGTGTTTTTCAGCAGCACTGACAGGAAGACTGGTCAGGGTTATCAATGCTGAACTAGACCAAAGTACAGAGATACCCTTAATGAAAACCTGGTTCAGAGCAGTCAGGACGTCTGACCAAGGTTCATCTTCCAACTGGACAATCATCCTAATGATACAGCCACAGGAGCACCTTTGAGACGCCTCGGTGTTTCCTCGACACAGACAGAGCCTTGGTTTGAGCCCAGTCAAACATCTCTGGAGAGACCTGATAAAAGCTGACCACTGATGATCCCCTTTCAACCTGACAGATCTTAAGATGTTCAGAAAAGAACGGCAGAGAATCATCAAATCCAGCAGTGCAAAACTGTAATCACTACCAGAGGTGTTTCAGTTTTCCAACTATTGAGGGAAGACTGATGAGGAAAATAATTATTTTAGCATCAGGCTGCAACATAACAAAATCTGAAAGAGTAAAAGCAACCACACCTTTTGGATAAACTGTCACATCACCAACCAATAACTGAATGTGGCGGCAGTTTTTGGTCTAAAACAGACAACCAAATAAATAAAGAGGAAAAGTTCAACTGCCACTGAGTTCCTATTGATTTCACTGGACAAAAACCATCTACAAATTAAATTCTTACAGGACGGATTGACTGAGATGGCATGGCACCAAAGCTTTTCTCTGCAATCAATGATGTTTGTGGTTTTATCCTCTCGGTGAGAGGTCACATGAGGGGATCGGATATCCCAGCATCCATCAGCAGGGGATCCAGTATTACATCTACTGATCACTTAAGTATCCATGTGGCAAAAACCCACCACTCCAGGGACATGGAGAATGCTATAATTTAGACCACTTGTTTTAATTAGGTGTTGTTTTATTTTGCACTAAACTGCGTCATACCACCACTGTGATTATGTCAAAAACATTTAAATTCAAGCAAAATGAATTGCAAATGTGTCAATGGACTCTCAGGGCCTCTAAGTAGCCTTGATAGCTGCCCTGTGATTTGCCTGTCTCCGTATTAAGACCACAGATTAGCAGGCAGTGCCCGGTTGCCCGCTGTAATCAGAATGCTGATCTAGTATAATCCCTTTTCAATAGTAAGCAGGCACACTGCTATCAGACACGGCTCAGAGAGGACACCTTAAGCAGCAGGGGGTCAACAAACAGATTTCCAACTTAAATCATAAGAAATAGACTTTCCGTGAGGACGAGTAAAGGGAGACATTTTTTTAAGTAAACATTTTAAAAAGCACTTGGTGGTTTGTGACTGTGTTGACTTGATTTGATGTCAGTAACAGACGGTGCACTGCTCCATTCCTTTAAGGATAAAGTAAAGCTGTTAATTTTTTTCGGGTGCCTTCGAGGCTGCTCCGGTTTCAGCATTTTATGAGCACCAGCCAAATCACTGTGTCGAATAATTAAACATCATTTTCTGCACAAAACTACAGAGAATATATTACAGAGGCAGCTTATCAGTGAAGAGAGAGAAGTGAAGGAAAGTGGTGGGGCTGCTCAGACACTCAGGGGAATATTATTTTGTCATTACACTGAAAACAGCCAACTGACTGATCATCTGAGAAACCAGAGGAACTGTTGGTTGTAATGTGGAGCAGTGCAATGCTGATATGAACGTGTGTGTTTATTCGTGTGCATTAGGTCTGAACAAGACCAACACAGCAAAATGATTTTTTCCAATGTATAGAAAAAAAACCCATCTGTGCATAATTTCACCAAATATCCATCTTAACTCCATGTGCAATAAACAAATCACTAATGCAATGATGAGTTTGAATAATGAAGTTTCAATCGAGCACTAATTTCTGTCACAAGATTGCTGATTTTGACTGATCACAATTCAAAATCCTGGATATATTGCGTTTACTGTCAAGCTACAAATATGAAAGCAGCAAATCCCCAGAATTGAGAAGCTGGAACGAGATCGTCTTTGGGTTTATTGCTTGAAAAATGAAGATGAATCATTACTTATCAAAATTGTTGCATTTTTCAACCGGTTTATTTGTTGTATAACTGACATATTTAATATTTGCTGATGGCTTACAATACAATCTGACTGTATCATAGTGACATTTTAAAATAAAAGACTCAGCAGAGCTTAATAGTACTTAAGCTTTTAGATCAAGTCAGTGGAGCCAAGCTGCAACTAACAATCGATCAATCTGCCAGTTTTTTTTATGATTCATAATTTTGTCATTAAAGTGCAAGAAAATAGAGAAAAAAGCATGTCATAATTTCTCATAGACTAAAGTGACACATTCAGATGCCCTGTTTTGTCGCAACAGCAGCCCACGATCCAAAGATATTCATTTTATAATGCATGACGAAGGAAAGCATCAAATGCTCACATTTGAGCAGCATGTGTTATAGTTTTGTTTGAGATGACAACCGATTCATCTCTTACAAAGATATCTGCTAAATTGCCAGTTGACTATTAATCAACTAATTGTTGAAACTCTACCTGCATTTTACAATTGTATGGCAGCACTGCTCTCTACAAATGATCAGTGGCAGAAACACTTTGCACCTGAAGCCCTGTTTTCCTGTGGAGAGAACAAAGATGCTGAACCTCAAAGCAGTTTTAAGTTTGACGTTGTTTTGTTGGCACATCCAGTGACAAGAAACTGCCTGCGACATAACCTGAAAGCAACATGCAACAAATGAAAAAATGTTTCATCCACCCAAACACTTCAAACTACAAATTTCTTTTTTAACTCTGTCTCCTCTCCAAAACAGTCTTTGCTAAGCTTGTTGTTTTCTTTTTAAATTCCCCAGGCCTTACGGCTAATGTACCACACATTGGTGTCAAACCTGTGCTGCACTTTGCCGCTTAACCCCTTCTTCCAATGAGCACAGATCATACATAAACCATAGATCATATATAAAGAGCCAGAGGTAAAGTGACTAATAGGCTTAGTTTGTTTTACATGTCTGTGCGGTCCACTTGTGAACATCACGAGTCAAAACAAAACTATATATTGTATGGTTCAGCCCTGAACCTTGCCTGTGGAGATAAGGTGCACGGCACAAAGTGTCTTAAAGCTGTCATACGAATACAGTCTTTGTGTACGCAGATACTCTCACCCTTTGGAAGGTCTATGAATGTTTAAATACAGTGTTGTGTGTATGGCGGATTGTCCCTCTCTCTAACAGCTCATTTCTAACGTGAGCTGACAGGCGGTGCAGATTCTGAGAGAAACAGCAGGAGAAAAGCGCTCAGGACGTCTCCACACATAAAACATTTAAAGGCCAACACTGTCAGGCAGTGATAGCACCTACCTTAACCAAGTCTGCATCTGGCACAAAGTGAGGAGAACAACACAGCCACTGGTGTTTGTGTGTGAACATGAGACCGTGAATGAGGGCAGGAGAAGAGACTGGAACCCTCATGGTACAGATCTGTCGTCACTGTGATTCTGTCTCAAAGATTCTTAATGTGGCCCAGTCTCATCAAAGGACTGATACAATTGGTCCTTTCAGTTATTTATGAAGCTTTTAAAATCTGAGCATTTCCTGCTCATCTCTGTTTTACTGTAGATTAAATCATGTTTGGGTTTTGAGCCGTTGGTTGGAAAAAACCTCCACGCTGGTCCCTGGGAAAGATTAAAGTGGACTCAACAGTCACTGTTAAGCTGAAGCATATGGTTAATTGATTAAATAATCAACTGGTAGATCCATCAACAAGCTTCTCAGTTTTGACAGTGACTAATATAACTAATATCAAGCCAAATACTATGAGCATATTGTCACAGTGGACAATGAAAGAAACGTGGGTCCTCTCACTGTCTTCAGGCCTTTTCGGAACAATGATGGATCAGACATTCAAGTGATTGATCAAGGAATTGTATTGATAAAGAAATGAATCGTTATCGAGTCCGAGCCCTTTGAGGATATTGCTGACTCCTGCTAACTCAAATGTTACTTCACATCTTTGCTGACTGAATATCTTTGGTGAAAGGACTGTTTGTCACTTGAATGACAGTGTGATCTAACAACTGTTTTAATTATAACATTAAGATAAATGGTGTATTATCTGCTTCTTTCCTCCTTATTTTATCTTCTACATCATTTTAAGTTAAATGTTTTTGACAGTCTGTTGTGCAAAACAAAGATTTGAACTTCTGCTCTGTGAAATTACAGCTAATACGCATGTTTTCACCATTTTGTGACACTGAATGAAAGATTAACAGATTGGTTTGACAAAACAACAGATTACTTCAGGGAGAAACAAACATCAGCGGCTCAAACTGTCCTGTTGACAAATGTAAAAGGTTTTAGAAACTCACATTGAGAGCACCGTGAAGTCAAACGTGTTGCACGTAGAAAAACGAGGGAAAATGAAGGTATCGGCTAATTTTCCATTGAAAACTTTAGAATTTAGAAAACCGCTCCTCCTCCAGAGCCTGAGAGTAAGAACCCCTCATCATGGACGGTGGTGGAGGCTCCGTCTTCACTCCTGCTGCTTCACAAACTACAGGAAACCCTCCGACCCTTTCAAACTGGGTCCAAGTGTCCCGGCAGTGGACGAACGAGCCACCGGGACAGCGGTGTGGTGCGGAAACATCCCGGGGGAGGATGTCGAAGCTAATCTCGAACCGAGCGGCTGAATTTCTCAAGCAGCGGCGGCGGAAACGACGCTCCTCGCCGGTTAAACCGCGGCTTGTTGAGCCGGCAAAAGTCGACTAGCTCCGACCGCCTCCAGCCCAACAAGAGCCCGGACATGCCTCTCTCCTCCTGCCCGCTGCCGCCGCGTCCTTCCCCCGCCGAGAGAGAAGAAAACCTCCCTCTTCCCCGCTTCGTTCAGTTCAGTTACGACCCCTCACTCACTCGCTGACCCTCCAGCAAACACACTGTCAACATGTCTGAATGTCTGCACTCACCTCCGAGAGAGGAGCGAGGAGCCGCCTGCGAGAGCCCGGAGCTCTCAACTTGTCCCGTTAGTAGAGACACGGCCGAGCTGCGGAGATACGCTTAGTGTGTGTGAGTGTAACTGTGTGTAAGTGTGTGTGTAAATGTGTGAGTGTAACTGTGTGTGTGTGTGTGTGTGTGTCTGCAGAGTCTCTCTCCTATCTCTCACCCCTCTGGGGGGCGGGGCTGACCAGGAGGAGGAGGAGACTGAGGGGAGGGTCCAGCCACAGTGAAGAGGCAGGGGTGCACCGAGAGGGGCCCGGGCCCAGCACAGGGGTGTCCAGCCCCCCCACTTCCATAAAATGAATCTATCTACTAACGCCCTGTTCCATTGCCCTCAGTTAACCCACGGTTGACGGCGTTCCAGTTTGCACAGGAGTAATGTTTACGTTAAGCCAGCTAGCCACTGTTAGCAAAAACAGTTCATAATTATGCTTTTCATTACATCACATTACGTTTCATTCAGCTGACACTTTTATCCGAAGCGACTTACAATAGGTGCATCAGCCATGAGGGAACAAACTCAGAGCAACAAGAATCAAGTAAGTACATTTAGTTTCAAAAAGCCAAACTACAAAATGATATTGGACAGTATGTGTATGTGGCCACGTTGGATTTCAAAGTCAGGTCTGGTGAGGTTCCTCTGACCTTCCGAGTCGCAGGTGCTGATCTTCGCCATGGCAACATTTGGGGAATCACTTCCTCTTGAGCAATTTTTCTGCAAAAAAGAAAAACTTTGATGATTTATCTGCTCCGCAAAAGTGAAGCCAGAGCATGTCCAACAGCCTGCGCCTGCTGACCATCTGTGATATTGCAAAGAGTATCTGGCTTCATAGCTCAGTGGTTAGAGCACTGGTCTTAATTTCACTGAAAACACTTCTTGTAAGATGGAGGATATTACCTTGAAGGTGGAATAACAGGTTGTCCACTAACCAGAAGGAAGTGTAATGATTTCATGTCAATGTCCTTAAGCCAAAAATACTGAATCCTTAATGACCCCACCAGCATTGTGTGAGAGATATAGTAGTATTGTATGAAAGTTTGAGTCCTCATAGTGATTCATTAGTCAAGTTTAATTTGCAGAACTTTCTGAAGGCTGGTGTTGCATATTTCATTTCCACAGATTAGATCAATTCACAACTGAACCAATTTTATAGCATCTTCCAGCGATGTTGTCCACCCAGTGCCTAAGCAAATCTCAGGAAAACCCAATATTGCAGAAAGGAAATATACCCCTACATCATGCAGTGGTTGGTTCAGTTCTTAATTAAAACCAATTTTTTTCATGAATCAAGCTCAAAATTAGAATGGTCTTGCATGGGTCCAGACTCCAAACTACACACACCGAACTGCATTGGATGCCTGCACAGATGGCTGGCCATAAATTTCGGGCAGCAAGCAGACGGTCAATGCAGTCCTTTGCAGACTGAACAGATGAAGCTTACATCACACAGACCATGGCAGCCATGTGGCCTCAGAAAGTATGAATTAAGTCTCTACCTAGGGACTGAAGGAGCAGATCCTGGCAGTTTGCTCTGTCTCAGCTTGCCCGGACTTACAAATAAAGGCAGGTAAAGCCTCCTGTTTGAGCTGGAACCTTTCTTCTGCAAATATATACATGCAAATGAATCGGGATCGTTTTACATAAATCAGCCACCTGAATACAGTCTGAACTATAGAGTGCACACCTCCACCAAGGCCCGAGTCCCCTTATATTCAATCAAATTGCGTCATACTGAACACACTCATAGAAATCAGTCCTGATTTTTTCATCAAGATCCATGAGTTAATCCATGGGAAATCAAAGCAATACCTTATTTCACAATATTAAAGAAAGCGGTAAAGAGAAGTTCCTGGATCCACCCCCAGATCTAGACCCACACCAAAATGTATTGGTTTCTTCTCAGACCAACACCACATCTTTCCACAAGCTTTCGTTGTAATCTGCGTAACCGTTCATAGAAATAAACAAACCAACCAACAAACGAACAAACGGAAGGGGTATAAAAACAACCTGCACATTCAACAAACATGTAGGTCAGAGAATTAAGTTTTAGCTTTAAAGCTTATTCAGCGATGTCCATAAGCCCCCTGGGCGCCCTGAGTCTATTCGCTTTCCGTTTCAAGTTGCGTCAGGTTCTTATGCGCCTGTGAGCTGGTATACCAAAAAGGCTTTCACTAACTCTGACCTGCGGGGAAAACCTACCCAAACCATGAAAAGCATGAATACATTTTCAGATGGACCCAAGTCTGAAAATGACCTGCAGTGACACAGATTCCAAATATGGACTTGAAGATTATCAGACCCAAAACCAAAATGCAGTCAACCTGAAAAAGAGAGAAACACCAGCAGATGAATGACTCTGCCAAATAATGAGCTTCTGTGATGAAGTTCATTTGGCAACAGAACAAACCAGAGCCGACCTGAGTCAAGATGTTAATATCAATCTTGTACTTATACTTATATATCTTGCTCTGTACTTGTAAAGCTTAATAACCTGTTACCTGCCTTTATATTGTAGCTGCATCTTTGAGTTTGCTTATTTAGGCTCAGCATCGTCATCTTTCTCTGACTTTTTTGTCTCTGTACTATTTACAAGCACTGACAACTTGTGTATGTCAGCATACTTGGTTGGCAAATTTTATATTACTTTGCTGTTGTACATTATAAAAGATTTAGGACACGTGGAGCCTATATATATATACTTTTTTTATATACTATATATATAAAGCTACTATAAAATTACACTGCACCAGCTCTCGGGTGAGACAGCAGACCTTGAGAGATAAAAAAATGAACACAGTGTCTGGGTTTTTTCTCTCTCCTTTGTCTTTTGTCTCAACCTGCTTGCATCTCTTTTCCTAATAAAATGTTCTCCTTCCTGTCTTTGCACCATTTTCTCTCATTACTCGCAACATTTTCTCAATTATATGGCAGAGTCTTGTCTCTTAAAGACAAAGATAGTGGTGCTGTTTTTCTTGAAAATTCATAAAATGCAGAATTTTATTTTTTAATTTATTTTATTTTTACATTCCACTGACAGATTTTTCTTAATGATCATCACGCTGCAACTGAAACATTAATGATAAAATTTAGCACAGAAGGCTCAGATTTAGATGTTTTATTCAGCTTATTCTCAAACACACATTAGTAAAAAGCAGGGTGGCGCAGTCAAAAGCCTAGTGCGTAATAATTAATGAACATTTGAGGAGAAATAAGAATCATAGACAAAAATATAAAGTAAATAATTCAAATATCAAAATGCTTAAGTGTCAATTTTGGAGTGGTGCCCTTTTAGTGTAAATGCTAAATGTACTGTATGTCACAGGCATATTATACAATAATATTTTGAGTAGAGCAGATCACAGACCAGTTCATGATGCTAGGATGCCTTTAACAGCGTCTGGCCAGAAGACCTTTTCGTGATCCCCAGAGGGACTATGAATTTATTAAGCTTGTCTAAGTAAATGAGCTGCTTCACCGGCCATTTCTCTTTTGAATAATTTATCATCCAAGGATTCAATTATTATTGTTTCCAGTGAAGAAAAACACTTTCTGGTCTGTGCTTCTGAGGATTCCTCAGGGCTGGACGACATTTGAGGTAAGACAAACCACCAAAGCAACACTAGGGAATGGGGAACAAAATGACCATAACATTTTATTAAAATATCGTCCAATTCAAGACAAAATTCATTTATATGTAACATTTGACCAAAGTGCTGAACAGCCTTAAAATACGAATACAAAACAATATGAAAAAGAGAATAAATACAAAATACGATAAGCGATAAAACATTTAACATCATAAATATTTAGGAAATAAAATATATTGCACAATAGCAGATTAAATCAAGGTCTCAAACTCTAATTAAAATCCAGGGAGAAGTCAGTCTTAAGCAATGATTTGAACATTTCAAGGGTCTGAGCGGTTCTGATATGAAAAGTTACGTTGTTCCACAGATTAGATGCAGCCGCTGCAGAGGCCCAGTCACCTCCATAAAAAAAACTACATTCAAACACAGACTGTAGGATAAAATGCAAACACAGAATCTGAGAATGGGTCAACAGCATAATTGTTGATGGAGTGAAGTATTTGCTTCTAACCTCCACTCTCTCTCCTCTTAACCCCAATCTCCCAGGTCCGACGGCAGCTGGAAATGGCAGACAGGCTTAAGACTGTACTCTTTACATATTTCATGGATTTGCACTTGCCCCACTTCTCCCAAAGAGCAGAAAGGGGTGGTTGTGTTGTTTTTTGGGAGCGGCACAGCTGAAACAAAGGCCTTGAGTAACAATTAAAAACTAGAATGGCAGTCAGTAGATCTTATTCCTCCGCCACGGGCTGCACCCAGTTTCAGTTATAGATATCAATCAATGCTTGAATCAAGATCCATGAATCATTTCCTGGAAAATTCCTTAAAATGTTGAAATAAGAAAGATCTCACAATGTTAAAGAAAGTGTTAAAAAAAAGTCTTCCTCTTGATCCATATCCTCACCAATTGGAATGTGTTCATCCCTGACCCATAATGCATCCTTCCACCAAGACCTGTTGTAATCCGTTCAGTTATATTTGTTCAATCTTGCTCAAAAACAAACAAACCAACCAACAAACATAATAAGTTAGCTATCTGTCTGCGTCCTCTAAAGTTGGGAGCTGAGTTTACTTTGGAGCAGCACAGCTTTGTCCAGGAGAGGCTGGTGTTTCTGACCGTGAAGTGTTTGAAAATTATTAATCTGATCCTTAAACACCGTGTTTCAAAGTGAGTTTTAAAGTTAGACACTTTCCATCATCAGCTTCAGGCAGACAAACAGACAAACTGACAAAGAGACACAACGTTGGTGACTAATGCT